TGCGACGGTCGCGGTTTGTAATGCGGTGTTTACGTCTTGGGCTCAGGCTATTGAAACGCAAATCGTAGATCAAAGGGTTAAATTCATTACAAACTGGTCATAATATATTGATATTAATATACATATACAAAATTGATAATTATAATTCGTCCTACCTTCATTACGTACAATGAGATCCAATAACGAGAGGTGTTAGAAAATTGAAATGAATGAAGTCTCCTAAACAAATACGTACCATCGATAAAATTCAGGTACATCCGTGATTATACATGGAGAAAGGGTAAGAGAGAACGGCACGTAAAGCTTAACCTTCTCTCTTAACCCGTAATAAAATAAGATCCACGTTAGAGTAAAGATAAAGGAGCCGGGGGAAGGCCGATCGAGGGAGATCAGGCGATATGGGGCGAAGTGTCGTGTTTCTGGCTGCTCACTTAAGAGCCGGTGAATGCAGCAGCCACATCCGGTCCATTCATCCCCATTCACGAGCCCCATACGGGGCTGAATGGCGTAGGCGGAGCCCGTGACAACGAGTTGGTACCCCCATTATAAACGCACCACACCCTTAGCTGTCTCTGTAGAAGCTGAGGGCCGTGCGATACTAGCGAACAGGTATAGAAAGCGTATAGCCTCGTTCGCGTCTAGGAAGTCGTTCAAACTTGGCGACAAATCGATCCATTCATTGGCGACGTCATTCACCGGATCCGTGTTTTCCCCGGTAAACGGGTTCTCAATCCAAAATACCGGCATTCTTCGAATCTTAAACGCGCCCTTTCTCGCCCTCACCCAACGGCAACAATGCTCCGTTTAGTCAAAGATTGATTTGCGTGATAGTTAAGTTCCTTCCTGGCACGGCTCCTTTGTAAACTACTTTATAGAGGCATAAGAATTGATTGACGAGTGGAATTGCATCTACATTACAACGAGCAAAAATTAACGTTAATATCTCAACGTTGGCTCAGATTTACTAATTCAAAACTTTTTATCATCACAGGTCGAATTCTATATGACATCCCATGTAAAGTGTGCCGTGACCACTCGTCGGGAAAGCATTATGGTATATTCGCGTGCGACGGATGTGCTGGTTTTTTCAAAAGATCGATAAGAAGAAATCGTCAATACGTTTGCAAGGGGAAGTCGAAAGGCGGTTGTATGATGGACAAGACGCATCGGAATCAGTGCAGGGCCTGTCGTTTGGCCAAGTGCATACAAGCCGGTATGAACAAAGATGGTAAGAATTGGTCAAGGATTATGTATTATTTATTTTACACGGAATATCAACGAATTTAACACTTGTAAATGTATATAAGAATCTTTTGGCGTTCACATTAATTCATAAAAGATACTATCTAATTTATAATACTTGCACGTGATGTGCACTTGATTTTTGCTACTAGCTTTATCAGATAATAGCATGACCTGTTTATTTTAAAAAGATTCACATAAACGAACTACTATTGTATTTAGGATATCTTCTTCTTATATCTAACAAGTCAAATAATGCACACATTTTCCAAATATAATCATCTGTTTCCGAGACTTCAGAGAACTTTGAAGAAAAGATACATAAACACGATGTAATGTGTGTCGGACTGCTAATTTTCGTATTTTTCCAGCTGTGCAGCACGAACGAGGCCCACGGAATTCGACTCTGCGGAGGCAGATGGCTTTATACTTTAAAGAGCCCGAGATGATGGCCAACATGGTATCACAACCGTCAACGGCTTTGGACCTGGCTTTACCGAAACCCCCGATCGAATCACGGGTTTCCGTGGCAGCCCCAGCCCCACATCATCCCCTTCCACTCTATTGCAACAACATGGCTATGTCGAAGGTACGACGTAATTCGAACTTATATTTGCCGATTGCAACAGAATTTGCTGTAATGCAAATGCAATGTATAGGACGTATTATACTATAATGTATAAGTCCAATCGTTCATGTGCATCAATAACTGTATTTATTGTACTATGAAATATAAAAAAATTTTACGAAGTAGGAGTTGCATATTGTAACTCATTCATTAATTACTTGTTTAAAAAATTAAATATGTTTCAGGAATGATAATGCAATACTATTTACAAAAATACGCTTCTCAAAAGTATAAAAATCTCGCGAAATATACAAGAATAGGTTTTCTTTGTATTTCCAGATTCCGGTTACCATGTCTGGCCTGTCGTCTTTATCGTTGATGCCAGCGATAACGGCGGAGTCCATCTGCGAACAAGCTGCGAGATTACTGTTCCTAAACGTGCACTGGGCCCGAGATGTTGCCGCTGGAACGAATCTGGTCATAGAGGACCAACTGACCCTACTGGAAGCCTCTTGGAGGGAACTGTTCCTTCTCGCAGCCGCGCAAATGCTTCCGACGCTGGACCCGACACCTCTGCTTCCACCTGGTCCTCAGAACCTCAGCCTAGCAGTCGAAGTAAATCGATTCAAAGAGTCGCTGGCCGGTTTCCATGGGATGAACCTCGATCAGCACGAGTTTGCGTGCGTCCGGGCGATCGTGCTCTTCAACGCTGGCTTGGATAGCGAGCCACTGCCCAGCAGTAAAAGCAGCAACGGATCCGCATCGCCCAACGCCGGAACCAGGCTTAAAGACCCGGCCGCAGTTATGAGGCTCAGGGATGGGGCACAATTGGTGCTTGGGCAAAGACTGAGCGGTGCGTCGTTTGGTGCTTTGAGGTTCGGGAAGCTATTGCTACTGCTACCGACCCTTCGTTCCGTCTCTGCGCATGCCATTGAAGAATTGTTCTTCAGGAGGACTATCGGTATCATACCCATCGAGAGGATTATTTGCGATATGTACAAGGCCGCTTGAGAACGACCGAATTTTTGTGGTTGGTTAGAATTTGAAGAGAGACATTGATCGACGAATGGTGGAAATAAAGTTCGGTCACTGCGTTTGTTGGAGAGGTAGCGGCAGTGTACGGTCAAAGGCTAATAGGTAATAGAATATTCAATATGAAGCAACGATTCCGGTAAAAAAGTACTTAATTTGCAACAAATATAACGGTGATTTAAATGCTATTGCTATATATTTTAAATTTGACGAAGTTCAAAAATATTCAGAAGGATTACTGAAATATTTTATTATTCTTCGAGAATATTGAAAAAGATTAGTTGAATCTGAAACCTTGAACTGAATTAGTGAAGTAATAGAAATTTAAATGTATTTCAACGAAAATGTACTTCATTTAATACAACGAACCATCTGTGATGGGAACATACGCCAAGAAATAAGTATTACACATGAAACGGAAATTCGGTATTTGAAATAAGAGTCGATAATGTGTACATTATTTTTATAATTCTGAAAATTATGTATTATATAGGGTGTCCCAAAACTAGTGTAAAATATTGAAATGAGAGGTCAAGACGTGGTTGAGGAGATCCGAGCCAACGCTCCCGATTCGGAGCTTGATTGGTCGGGGTTTTTTGTTAATAACTCTTCAACCATACCTCGGACAACTTTTTCGCTAAGGAAAATGTTTAAAATTACGTGAGGAACCTGCCATTTCAATATCTTACACTAATTTTGGGACACCCTGTATATGTATGAATAACAAATGAGGATCGTACATGGTACGACAATCGCAATAATTTAGCTAATGCCTGTCATGCGTTTAATGAGTTAGGTTAACAAATATTTTTACGTTTTATCCACGCGAATAAATCATTAATTGTAAATGGAGATTTAAAAAATTCAGTCCTTAGGATACTAATACAAAACGTAACTTTTTCTTTAGTCGCGTTCGTGGCAATAATGTAATTCGTTACCAATCTCACGGAATCAAATATTAAAAATTTTGATTTTAGGCGACTAAAGAATTTGTATACGTAAACGAGACTCGTCGTATGTACAAATGTAAACTAATTGTAAGTTACTTAGCCGTACGATGATCATCGTTAGATAGCAACTATTAGTTTAAATTTATGAAGATGATATTATCGCGCCTATGGCGCACTACTCGTGAATATAATTTTCAAGATCTGTAAATAAAATGTTAACGTCACGAAAATATAATCCCACAACTGTTTCTTTTTTGTTAATCTTATAAATCGTATACTAAATTCCTATTCGATATTTCCAATTTCAATCCCTACTTAACAAATGAATCTGTTCTACAAATCTGCAAAAAATCAAGAGACGAAGGGGGATGAGATTTCGAAAGGTTCCCGACTAGTCGGACAAAAAAAAAAGAAAAAAGCCTGGCTACGGGGAACATCTAAATTTTACCTGAACTTTCCCGTTGGCACAGTGAAGGAAAGAGAGACGAATTTCACGGGAATTTTACGGTGATTTGAGTGGTAATCGCGGCACAAAGGTTCTTCGAGGCTGTCAGTATATTTAGAAGCATTTCCTAACCGTGGTAGACCAACGTGTAATCACTAAGGCGGGTAAATAATCGTCTTGACCGGTGAAAAAGCATTCGAACCGACGGATGGAAGTCGGCTGGCAAAGTCCGCGTCGCGTTTCTTTGTACGCGAGTATCGCGTATCCCCGTGCGAATAATGCTTTCTGTTATTTTTGACGATGATCCCAGATCAACGATTCTACCCAGGCTTTTATTACACATTATCAAATTGTTATGTACGAACGTTTATTTGTCCAGGTTTTATACGGTGTAATTGAGTTTATTTTAGAAATTCTAGTAAATTCTCAATAACTTGGAACAAATTTTGATTACTTCCTATGAACGAAACACGAAACTTTAAAATCGTAGAAACATTCTCACGAATTCTTTTATAGAGAAGCGATGCGGGATAAAAAAATGCGTCGACATTAGCTCCAACGGCGTTCGAGTGACTCTTCTGATTCGCATGGATGAACTCTGGAATGTTGCCACTTAACAGTCTCTGTGTTCGTTTGTTCACGAATCTGCTCGCACTGATACTCGGCACCTACGAGTTTAATTCATTGCACAGTGAAGGTATTCAACAACTATGACCGGAATCATTTTCCTATCATTATTCCTTGCATGAATTGTCGTGATCTTCATCAGATATATTTTCTACGTGGATAAGAATAAGAAAAGAATACTTAGAAAAAGGAGGACGTCTGAAACTGTTAAAGGAATTTGACAATCCCTAAACGTCGACTAAAAGTAATCGTACAATGCAAGAGGGTAGGTAGGAAAAGAAACTATTTTCACGGTTGCAAGAGCAAAAGCACGGATTAAAAGGTGACCGGCAGCCTCCCAAAGGCTCGAGAATTTCGGATTCAAACATTGTGCTCTGACAAATTACTCAGGTAAACAGTCCGCCCAAAAATTTCCCGAAGCCACGATCTTGAAACGGGAGTTCACAAGAACTACTACCAATGCGAGCAGATGCAAATAGTTAGCTGCGAAGCTGGCCAAAACGAGATGGGGAAACAAAGCAACGGATATGATTGCTGGGGAAATAGAGCAAGTTTCTGGCTAGGCGATCCTTTGAGATAGGGATAAATTGGTTCAAGCTAAATATTGATGAAATCTTTATTCAAACATTCAAATATACAAATTTCAAATTCTCTACGTGTATTATTTATTATTACGCTGAGTTCTTTTTACATAATAAGATATTTATTAAATGAAACTTATTAATTCCTTAATCAGAGAACTTAATTCATATGAAATAAGAAATTTTAGAAAATACACAGCATGCATGTTTCTGCATCATCTTCTTCAGACAGGAATTCTTGGTCTTGGTAAAAGGATTCTTGCTAGAATGCGAGAAGCATTCCTTTTGGAACTAGTGAAGAACAGGGAATCAAATCATATCCCGTCGCACGCAATTAACATCTCGACCTAATGAAACCTTCCAAGCACCGTATGTTACAATTTCCTGCTCGCTGTCTACCGCGGCCACCCTAGGGCGGCACTCCTGCGAAGAAGTGCCACTTCGGTTTCGAGCACTCGCCGCTTTTCACTAATGTAATACTGTAACGTTTCCAACCGAGCGAATAATAATCCCCGATCACGATCAGGCGAGACTGTGAGGCACGGAATGGAAATCAGAACTGGAAGTAGCGGCAACAACAAGTAAATCGCTGGTATAACAATAACGAGTCGGGACTGTCGCTTCGTCCGTCGTGCACTCAAACAGAATTCCTTCGCTTAAAATAAAAGGGGCCAGCCTGTTGGCCATTGTGTCAGTCGTATGTATCGTTACAATTGCGTAATTGCGCGTGGTAGGTAGCCCACAAAAGTCGACAAGTGGTTCCCACCGATGCCGATGGGGCAAACCATCAGCACCTTGCCACAGGACGGCCGAATGGGGTGGCGCAACCCGCTGCTCCGGCCATTTCGCGAAACAATCGCCCTAACAATGCCATTCGTATCTAAATTCTTCGTGGTATCGTTTCCTTGTCTTTCTGCCTTTATTCCATTCTCTCCTTTGACGTAGTAATAGTTTTCACCGGAGTTCTTTGCTTTTTGTCGTCTTCATCAACTTTGCATTTATTATTTTTTAATTCATATACATTTTTCCTTTAAACAAGACCCTTTAATTATCATCAAAAAAAGACAAATCGTAAGGATAATCATATTAACATAATAAATCGCCTGATCAATATAGTTCTCAAATTTTCACTTGCTTGCACAAAAGAAACGAAATCAGGCTATTGAAATTCGGAAATCCGTCTTTCTTCCTCGTCAGATTCTCTCCTTCCCTCCGTTGGGTCGTTCCTCGCCCTTTGCTGTCGCTCGGAACAAGGTAACCGGACAAAACAGTAACAAAAAGCTGTCGAGGCACAATGCTGGCGAGGATGTAATTGCGCTCTCCGCCATTGGGTTAACAAAGGGGCACTCGACTATATGTTACAATCTCGATTTCGTCGCCTGGATCCTGGCGAGCGGACTCCAGGGGCAAGCGTCCTGTCGAAGCCTCCACAAGCGGGGATGGAAATCGGTGGTCGAGTGGCCCTCTCCACGGATTCAGCCGGCATTGTGCGCTTTGTTTTGAGGCAACAAAACAGAAAATGCGCTCCATACGCGGCTGGCATTGTAGTCAATTAGCGGAGTGCCGGGATCGGCTAGCCTCCACTCCGCCCATCTAGATTTTGGTAACTTTAATGGGAGAGACTCTGTACGTCATGAAATCGTAAGTGAAGAGTGAGTTGAAGTATATAATTATTTTTTACTTTCTCATTGTACATTACATAATCTGGAAGTGAACAAGAGTTAAATTGAAATAATCTCATTGTTAGATAAAAAAACTTAAGAATAAATGATAATATGCACGAACAATATTACATGTAAATACATAAAGAAAAAATATATATCTGTAATACTTAGAGCAAGTCGACAGTAAATCACACGCGTCGGCACGTCCTGAATTTAGCGTTAAGGCGCGCGCGCCACCCCAAAGTTTTTCATCGCGAATGAATATTTGCACGTGCTCCGGAAAGCGCGCCTCGTGTCAGGAATTTAATAAAGCAAACCCGTGGACGACGCGGCAGCTCGTGCGTACATTTTCACGAGGTTTCCGGACGAAACATCACGCGACGGATCGACGCTCCCTTGAGCAGTTAAGAAATGCCGCTCGAATCTTCCCTCGCTACGTCGACGGTCTTTCTGGCTAACGCATTTTTCTTAACTCCTCCGAAATATTTGGCGGATTCGAAGGGATGCTTTCAGAGCTCGCTCTATTTAAATTGCTCGTAATACCATGAGGAAAAAGTATTAGGGTATCGGTTAGAGGTTTTATTTTCTTGGACCAAAAATTTTAGTAATTCATTAATAACATGTAGAAAATTATTAGTCACAACATGGTTTTTGATAGAAGAATTTAGACGAATTGATTTTTCGAATTCAAATCCTATTTGATAATACAGTCAATGAGTGATTTGAAATGCAAACCACAGGGACAGAGGCTCACTGTTTAAACAGCGAATTTTTGCCCATCCTAATAGACCGACTCCCTTCATTTTTTGCTTTATGCCGTTCTACTTTTTCTTCCAATCGATTCAGTTCATCCAGGGTGTACGCGTTTTCGAGATCCAACGTCGGTCTCCTGTAAAATGCCAGGCCCTATTGTCAGACCCCGGTCGACGCGCCCATTATGTCTACTTGGCTGATGGGAACAGATTATGTTGGTCGTTGTCATTGAGGGGCTCATCACCGCCATGACACTGATGCCTCGAGCAGGCCGAGGGAGGTTTCACTACGGGGGGAGGCTATGGGGACGCACACGCTTACATTGTCCGAATAAATTATATCGGGCGTGGATCGACTACCCTTATACCGGTCGCTGAGTGAAACGTCACGGATCGAAAAATAGGGTATCCGTTGTCGAGTGATTTGATTCCTTTATTTTCTTGATCGTCACTAGCCGTTGCGCCCCGCCGTCACGTGTTCCTTCCCCTCTACTCAATCGCCGTTAATCCTTTTCGAGATAACGTTTCCCCGGAAAATTCACCTCACGCGGAGGGAGGACAATTTTCCATCTAGATTTTATGTACTAGGGAGACCAATTGCCATCAATATATGATTTGTAATTTAACGATTATGACCACGTTACTTCAAGAAATTATTACATTTAATTAATGCAATTATATTTTCTATTTATACCGAACAATACGTCTAATTCGTGAACCATATTCGATATTTAAGAATCCTATAATCCTCGCAGAAACGTCTTAACATAATCCCTGTTTAAGTCTGTCCCCTTAACGAGTCCTGGCCATAATTAACTCGGTCACCTTGCAAATCGGCTGTCTTAACTAGCCTGTTTAGTCGGTTAACAGGTCTCGTGTTAACGATTCCGAGAGATGTGCGCGCGTGATAGCATGAACCGGCACCCACGCGAAAGGTGCATTATAATGTAACCGCAGGAGGTCTCCGTTTCACCTGACTAATTTCAAAGCCAGCTAAGAAGCACCCTTTCGGTATTATCTTCGCTACGTACCTTGGGTCCAAGACAAAACTCAGCTTCTAGGTGTCGATCATTACGGATTTTAGAATTAACCCGTTTCTCGGATTGAAAGCAGCTTTCTGAAACGCAAGGATCGCATTGTCCCTATACTCCAGTACCCTCAGTTTCGGTACGGCTTTCACTGGACAGGGATGGCCGTCGGTCTACTAATCTGTTTCCCAATATAACTGACTTTAATTGTTGAAAATGTCCCGTGGAAACGGGCGTGGCAGGTGTACCGTGAAACAGAATCTGTTGGACTGGCTGTGATTTGAACAGTGAGTGTGATTTATAAGCACCGCTATAATTACTATACTTCACAGTTATTATAAGTTCTTCTGGTGAATAATACATTACCTTCATAAATTTCTAATTATTTTTAAGTGGATTGTACGTGCACTAAACGGATTTATGATGTCGACTGTAAGAAGCTACCTGACACGAGCAGTGATAAAATCTACGTATTATCCTTTTACAAGCACGTGAACTGTTCATCGATTCGACATCTCGGCAAACATTCTGATCCAGTTCGCCTTGATGTACGTTCTCGTCTATTGTACCGGTCGCACACCCGTTAGCAACAGACGAAAACAGCGCGGCCGCTTTCGAAAGGCACGATTAAGATGACAAAAAGCTCGCGTGTAGACTGTAGACAATCCCCAGAGGTTGGTTCCCGGCTTAAGACCACACGAGGAAGTATCCGCGGCTGTAGGTTCGAAAGGTAAAACGAGTCCCGTCGACAATGGCTGACTTCGTAAGGCAAAAATCAGAAAGTTAGGGCGTCTCGGGAAGCGAAAAGAAGGGAGCGACTCTCTGTCGAAATACGTATCTCCCGGACCCTGAAGGGACGCGCAGCTGCCGTGGAACACGCAACGATTGGCCATCGTTGCTCGACAGCCATACTGAATTTTTCCGGTCTAGCTTCTTCTCACAATGGTTCCGCGGTCCCAAAAAAAGGGTCAGGGGCTCGTCGAAATCGGTACCGTTTATCCAGAGATTCCCCCGCTTTCATCTTTTCTCTACGTACGCTTTCCCTTTGTGAAGCTGCCTTCGATGGGTAACGTGATGTTCCGCGAGGAAACGTGAACTCACGGATCAGTAATAGATTTTCAGAACAGGAATGATAATGAACAGAAGGCACAAATCCGTGCACTTCGAGATTTCGTATCTTTAAATGCAATCTTTTAATATTCAAACGATTAATTAAACTTGTATTTCAATATGGTTCAGTTAGTTATTTTGTAGAACTCGTTTGGTTTGCATAAAAAGTTTTTAAACCGAGACACCTTGAACTTGGAACGGAGTCGAGGCGAGAAAACGCTGCGGCGAAGAGAGGGTTGACACGGATTTGGCCGCGTGCCGCCACCCTACTAAAGGATTAAGCGCAATTATTGGAACACTCCCGCATGGCGAACCGCAGTCCGTTTCACACGCTCCTCTTATATCTTGTTATGAAAGTTGTTAACTCTGCTTTTCTTTGGGAAAAGCGAATGAGGATATTAGTTGACTAAATCCGATTGGATTTATGCAGCTCAGTCTTCAAAACTTTACATTTAATATCAGAAAATTATAGAAAGTTTGCAAAAAAAATGAAGTATCACATTTTAAAATTGACTACTACCAGGACTTAAGAATTTGTATAACTTTCATATTATAAATAATCTGATTCAATCTCTAAAACCGTTACATTATAATACTACAGTAAAACTGGAATTCATTATTACGTTACACTTCATCGATTTGCAACTGCAGTGTCTTTCACACTTCACCGGGAATCAAACAGGGAACAGTCGCTCGGCTGCGTTTCTCTGACTGCGCGTGTCCTCGCGAATATTGCAGAAACGTGACACGGCCGATTGCGGTTGCGGGAAAACGATTGGGCAACACCGATATGCAAAGTCTGTATCGCGTACGGCTCGGTAATTAGGCGTATAAAGCGTGCGCGTGAGCCGCGCTCTATTCACTTTCCACGAGGTTTAACGAGCCAGCTGGCTGAGGAACGGCTGCCAATTAATCGCCTCGAATAAAATTTTTGTACCGTGGCTTGCTTTCATGGTTCGCGCCAAGTTTCACGCTGAAAATCGACTAACATAAATAGTTCACGCTGTTTTAAGGGAAAGTTGTGCCATTTTTTGGGTCAACGATTTACGAGCTACGTGCTTCTGATTCGCACTTTCTATAATTCTGTGTTAACGAGGAACAACTTGATAGATACGGATTAGAATAATATGTCTCAGGATAGAAATTCATCTTCTAAATATCATACTAAAAGGAATGAATTGTCGAAATTCTATAGAACGGAATGTTAATCCCAATTGTGCGTACGAACTCGATGAAAATCGTTCAGTTTGGAACGAGTTATAGCAGACTTTGAAGCAAGGAGTTCATTAGAAATTCAGAACGTGTTGCAAATTAGCAGTCGGCAGGATCACGCGTGCACATGCGACCAGTGGATGCGGTGTGCGTGCATCAGCTAAGTAGTAAGTAACCGGGGCGTCACATGCTGCCCCTTCAGATGCGGCTTGGGTTTTGGCTTGCTATAACTCCGATAATTATGTTACCAATGCGTCGAAGGACAAAGGGCTCTCGAGCGACATGGATGGCTCGCGAGCTAGAAGCACAGAATAGAGATGGTTGCTTGGTAGCCCAGCTGCCGGTAATCCTCCCTTTGTAATTTGCCTCCGTGACCCCTTGCTACCCCTCTTGCCGCCCTGCCACTGGCGTCGACCGGTCGTTCACTATTTTTTCAATAAAATTTTACCTCAATTATTGTAAATACGTACTGCTATTTCGACACAATTGATATAAACGTAAATCTAACGACAGGATAAAATATCGCCTTTCAGTGATGTAATTAGAAACACCATCTATGATAATTATACATAGTATACTAGATCAATATCTCAGTATAAAAGGTTGGAATGTAAAAGAGGTATTCTGACTATTCAAAAAGATTAAAATAAGACGCTGTCGAAAAGGCAGACAGTTATATAATGATTAAAAATAGTATGTATTACGAGTCCACACGTAAACACAGACTATTACGCCTGTAATATACCAGTTGCGAAGTTAATTGCTATTAGTTTCACCAATAGATATGATCACATGTTAGCGTCAGTTAAGACAAATATGCACTTTTAAAGCAAAGGCACGTAAAAAAAATTATTACTTGATGTAATAGATAAAAAATAAAGGAGAATGCAACAATGAAGTCAGAATTAATACGAATCAGTAATTTACATTAATGCGGAAATTGTCTAGAAACGAGACTGCAATAAATTATATCGAGTACATTGCCGCTCTAGGCTTGGTGAGAACCGCAATAAATCAGAGAGAACTACGCCACTGACAGGCGGTTGATGTCGCCTGTGCCCTGTGGATAATAGAGTCCGCGACTTTAATGGACTCGCTAATCCTCTTCCCTGTTTGTCGGTGAGTCCATCCGGGGGTACGTATTCAGGCCCAGGCACAGAGGTAAGAATCGGGATGGAGTAGGGTGACGTGACTGCGGGTAGTACACGGGCGCAGTTTAGGGCTGTTCTTTCCGCATCGGGGAGAGATTCAATGTGTGGGTTGTCGCGCGCGGTACTGGATCGTCCGCGCCCGGAACTCACGCTGAAAACCCGCCCCTTGTGCGGGTTCAACGGCGCGATGATACCCTGATTTATCGAGTGACGAATTGAGTGCGCGTTTAATGCGATGCGGCGCGGTGAGTTTAACGACACAATTTGTCGTGATACCACCTCGAACCCCTTTAACTGAGAACTCGGTTAGATCCGGTTCTCTCCTTCTAATGAATTTGATCGGTTAAGCTATGCAAGGAGAGTTCTTGGGATGTAAATAACAGTAATTGGCAAAGCTATTCAGAAGAACACGAGTTTGGGAATGGATTGTATAAAACAGAATCAGATACATTTAATTGTAATTGTACTTCTCTCTTATATTTTGTTTTCTAACGTAATTGGAATCACAAATTCATCTTATTGTATAGTAAATGAGTTTCAAGTACCATTTATATTTACGTAAAAATTAGTCAAAATGCACATGTAAAATTAAATACTACTGTAGAATGTATGATATAATTTAATACGGTGTTATTTCAACTGAAATGTCCTGACATTTTTAAATCAGTGAACGCAAAGTTGACTTAATACGAGAAAGATTGTTTATTTTAATCATTTGATTCGAAGTATTCTCAATTAAGTGAATATATAAATTAAAATTATGAACGAAATGTATAAATCACATGGAATTCTAATTTATGTACTGATACAGATTACAGTCTCAAAATATTTAGTCAATGAGCAGGACATTTCGATTAACCAGGCAGTGATAAGGAAATCTTTTTTTCCCTTTCTTTTACGCTTTTTGAGGGATCGCATTACCCAAGCTGCTCTGGTACTGCAGTAATTGCTGAATGTGAGGCGGTAATTTTGATGAGTATTGCGGCTGCGGTTGAGCATTGTAGTTGGGCTGAGGCTGGGGCCGATATTGAGGCTGCTGAGGCTGGGGTCGATATTGAGGCTGCTGAGGAAGCGGCCGATATTGGGGCGGCTGAGGAATGATAGGTTTCTTATACTGTCCCCCGTTTGCCGGGAATCCTCTATAATCCGGTTGCTGTACTCCCGACGCAAATTGAACCTGTGGACGATACTGGGAAACTTGCGTCTGTGGTACTTGCTGAGGCTGTTGTGGCTGAGCCGGGCTTAGTTTTGGAATGGGTTGTTGAGGGACTGGCACCAAAGGTGCGCGGTAATTCTGTGCCTGAAGCAATTGCTGGATCTGTGGTGGAGGTTGACTCTGTCCACGGTGGCCCAACACCTGTCTTTCCACGCGGACGTGGTCTATGAAAGATTATAGCAATTGTAAACTTTTAGTTTAGTTCAATTTATCATTTTTAATAATAGATACACAGATTTGATAATAATGATACAACTTTAACATCTTGACATGTTAATATGAGAAACTGAATTCTGTTTCAAACGCGTATCAAATTAATTAACAGTATATACTTTTCATGCTATGTTCATGAATAATTTACCATTGACTGCATCTTGAAATTCTTGTCCCAAAAGATCACTATTCACATCACCGATGGCGTAAATAATGGGCAGCACGGCTAATACTGAAACCTAGAATTCGTAACAGTTATTAACTTTTATTTCGCATCACTCACGTAACTCCTAAGCATTCATTCAAATTCGATTCATCTCAACGTCAAATTAAAGATATTATTTATCACTTACGCAATATACTGCTGTAATTGCTATCTGTTATCAGTACGTGTTAAAATTATCTATGATTATTATAAAAAGAACTTCAACTACTTTCTAAACCACTGTCATTTCAGTTATTCTATTTTCATCACTTATCTCATGCTCACAAATTTCTAAACGATTATCGTACTTTCTATCCATGAGCATTAAGTAAATGATCCGTAACGCAAAAATTAATAATGTAGGACAACAAAAGTTTGCTCTCTAACTTGACCCACTTTAAGCGCCACGGCGTGTACTGCTAATCGCTAGTCGATAGAGTCATTTGTAAATGTCACAAAAATGTTTTCACATGGGAAAATCCAGGTTCACGATTGAGAAAGTTACTAACTGCATCTCGGGTTAAGACTTGTACTCAATACAAATATCTGTGTATGTATGTATGTGTATTTGAAACTATGCGCGCATAGCAAATTCTTACAAAGGGAAAGGAGAGAAAAGCACTGGGTATCTAAAAGCAGGTACATATGCCAATCCTTTTGCCTTAAAAAATACACCATATTATACCCTTTTTTCAGTTAATTTCAGCTAATAGATTATTATTAGATTCCCTAAAATGCTAATCTTTTGAAAATGTAGTGTTCGATACCGAAATAATAATACCTAATGCAAAAAAGTGAAGTGTGCATACATTGCTAGATAATAATTATGCGAAAGAGAGGATTTTCGTATTCGGAGTAAATAAGGACTTTTTATGCCAGCAGTACATTCTTGTCGCGAAATTATTACACTTTTGAAACTGGACATGGATGTCCTCGAATTTATGGCTCGCCCTTACACGTCGTTTTAAAAGAATCAATTCGAAACCGAGAGCTAACGACGTGAGACACGATGACACAGTGCAGATACACTTTCTCGCTCGGCTGATCTCGCCTTGCCACGACGGGAATATACTACTAGCATTAAATTTAAAATTAATGTTCACTTATTTTGTACTCACATTTGATGGTTCATGCAACTGAATAAACCTCTGATCAGATGGAAGATATGTTACGTTTAATGTTTATAAAAACTGAGAAGTTATTGTATTTTGTTATGAGTATCAGAATGAAATCTTGATGTTATCAAAAAATTAACGCATATTGTGTAATAATATTATACTGCTTGTTATAAAATGAAATACTATGAAAATACAGTTAATCAGTTGAACTTGTAATAAATGACATAATAAATAAATTAATATTTTTAATAAAATGTGTAAATTGATGCAGGGAACACTGTAAATCTAACTATAAACCACTGTAAATGAATTTGTTCTTTGAAAATAGATGTGAAATAATGTTTAACTCACGAGGATCTTCATGGCGAAGGTGTAGGCGATTTCGGGATGATAGCTGAACGAAACTGGCAGCCGCGTCGCGACTCACTTCTATATGGGCGAGCGTATCCAGGGTAAATGGTCCGGCCAACCACTAACTTTCACGGTTGGTCGGTTTCGAGTGAATTTTTTATCTATCCACCTATGCAGCCTCTGTATATATGCGTACGCACACATACGTCTGTTACATGCCTCCCGCCCAGTTACGTACATCACGTAACAAACTGCGTCCCGCGCACGCACGACATGCAACATTTCTGTGGTTACCCAGGAAGTGATACAGCTAGTTGCACTAGAAAACCTGCAACTTGTGACAATTCGATTCGTATCGTGACTTAATAATGGATTCTTGATCGATTTCAAACGTTTTCTGGTTAGTCAAGTATCACTGATTATATTAGAAATTATTAAATCATTTCATTACATGGCAATATTACGTTATGAATGTTACATGACAATATTACATGGAATTTATAGTTTTATATTCTTAGCATAAAAACATAACATTAATATAATTCGCAGTTTCCTAATAAGAAGATAAAATAACGAATGTTACTGAAAATTATACAGTTCGTTCTTCTCTTTAACAGTATATTAACAGCAATCAGCAACCAATTTTCTATTGTTTGACCAAAGCGTTACCATGTCCATATAAACTTCCCGTATGAAGAACATTCGTCACGGTTTGTGAAAACCAGTACCTTTCCCGAGCGTTTGTTATATCAGAAGTTAATTCGAAGTTACGTGAAAGTCGGCTTTTCTCTTTGAACACGATTGTCGACTGCGCGCGTTGCAATTTTCTTTGAAACGCTGACAATTAATTAACGTTTCAAGGAAGCAAGGACACCGTGGAACTCGTTCCCATTGCGTAAAGGGTATCGTCATTGTGGAAAAGGAACCGAGAGTCGATGAGCTCTGAAGCTACCATCGATTGAACGAAAGGTCGATTGTTACCTCATCGAAACAGGTTTTATCAACTTAGACTCTTAATAGAATTCTTTAACTCGCAAGTGTTTTAATAGCTTATTTAAAACAAACTAAGAGAGTGGTAATAAATATTATATAACGATTATATAGCGCAACTATTTCATAAACGGCTTAATAAAATTCAACTGCAATTGCATAACAGAATGATATTCTTGAAATAGACTTTACTGTCTATAAACTAAATCTTATGCTCACGTTTATTTTTAATAATGAAACGTGAATTCTCTTTTATAAGAATGATTCAGAGACTGATCTACGTATCATAAACTTTGAAACAAGTGATTTACGATCGAATAAACCTTGGTTCTATGCACAGAATAATGGGTATCGACAGAAGTCGCGAGTCAATGGTTGGTCAAATGTAAAACACGTATTTCCAGTCACGTAACGGTACAGCCGCTTGCTGCAGGAAGCGCATGCACAGACGCCGGTCACTTCCGTATTCCAGAATCTAAGTCGACCGCATTAATAACCCAAAGTGCAACCATTCTCACGGGGACACTTCGTACTCCGTAAAAATCTCCCGATTTAATCGATACTTGCACGGCTGGCTGGCAAAAACGATTGACCTTACTGCTTGCAGTTTCACATTCACCATTCCGTACTCGCTCCTTACGATGTACTATAAAATAATTTTCCATTCAGCAGTTAATTATTTTTTAATTCGTATTTTCTAATATGATAAAGATATTATGGTGATTTGTGTTCGTTTGATTTCATTAAAGTTTAAAAATGGATTAACGTTTGTTAATCTAAATGGTCCTGTAAAGTATTGAATCTAGTAGATTGTATGGAAAAGTTTCAAGTGAAAGTGGATCGTAGGTATTCGATATGTGAAACTCGGGGCAATAATGCGCGTTCAAGTGCAAATATTTCTTTGTAAACCTTGTTATGTGCACGGTGCCGAAATTAATTTTACGTTCAGATTATTATAATTGTACGTAAATTATTTTTAAATGAAATTATGTATTTACTATAGACCACATTTATTTATTATTGATCACTTATTTCATTTTTGAATGCTAAAAATTCTTGTGATATAAATCATTTCACAATTTCATAAATTATTTCCTTTATGTCATTAGTAATTATAATCGATTATAAGATAAATTAAGTGACAACTAAGATTTTTATTAAAATATCTAGAATATTACGATCTGTGATTTGCATTATTGAAAAAGAACATATGTTAGGGAAGATATTAATCATTCAAGTGAAAAACATTTTATTGAAAAATATATAATGTGAAAATTACAAAACAGGCAGCATACTGAATGAAACATTGATAGAATTTAAGCTGCGTAAGATTCTAATCAACCTAGCTGCTTGATCATTTATTATAACCAGTATAAAGCAATGTCGATACATAAGTATTTAACATCCTACTGGAGAAATGAATACAGATTTATTATTTAATATAAAAATATATATATATATTGGTAGGTTTTATATTATTGATTATACATACATATCTAACGATGTAAGAAAACAGTATTATCCTTTGAAGTATAATAAATATTAGCGTTTAGCATTGTTTAAGAAATACACAGAAAATTTCTTTCATCGACAGATACACATTTTCTGCTGCTATCGTCAAATTAACATTAGCAGTACAATCACAGGGAGAACGTCGATTTCTTCGCAACTTAATATCGTGCGAGACAAATCGCATGTTAAACAAATGTTAATCAAACGATTAAGAAAATTATCTTTTATCATCAATTTGACAAACCATACAATTTTTATCGACTTCATTCATTTTCCATATTCACTTAATACGATCTGGTCTGCTGCAAAGAATCATACATATTTAATAAAATGTATCAACGTAAAACTATTCTGAATACATTTGTATCAACAAAAGCTTCATTCTTCTAAAGTTAAAAATCTAATAAAAAATCTACGAATATAATTTTCTTAACATGCGAAACGCGGAGATCCACTAGCAACGGCTAATCAAGAATGAAACGAGATATTACGTCAGACGAATTGAGAATGAATCGAGGATCAATGATCGTCTTCAATATTGATTTTCGGTGACAGGACGAACCCCAGGCTGTTGGTAGGGAATGAGTTGAGACTGTCCCTGCTGCGGATATTGTGGCTGCGTTTGTTGCTGCTGATACGCTTGGCTGTAGCCACTCTGTTGGCCTTGATACGCGTCTTGGTACTGTGGCTGTCCTTGATACTGAGGCTGCCCTTGAGACTGAGGCTGTCCCTGATACTGAGGCTGACTCTGATATTGCGGCTGACTTTGATACTGGGCTTGCTGCGTGGGCGCGGTCTGCTTAGCTTGCTGAGGCACGTACGGTTTATCGGGACGATAATTGATCTGATTGGCGATGATATTGTAAGGAATTTGCGCCTGGAATTGCAACAAACTTTGAAGGTGGCCGGGGATATTGGTGGAATATTGGGGTGCCGGTTCGGCTGGCAGCGGTTGAGGCTTCGCTTGCTGATACGGTGCTTGTCTCTTTTCTCTGGGATGAGCTGGTTCCTTTGGTGGACGTCGAACGGGAGTGGGCCTCGATACTGTCGGTATCACCGTGTGAACAACGGGAGTCGCTGGCTGCTGTCTAATTAATTCTTCATAGTGATTGCGAATCTGTTCTAATTGCATCCGCGCAGCTGGTTCGGGGTTGAATCTGAAAAACATTGACGAAGACCCAATGACGATTATTAATGAAACTGTAATACATCTTTCTATTGTTGATAGTTGTAATGCAACGCATTATTTATTTATAATGTATTTTATAATAAGATTTACCTGAGCGGTTCAGGGATCGAATTGATGTACGGGGTTTGTGCCTGAAATTTCAACAGTTCTTGAAGCTGGGGCGGTAGATTTGGAGAATATCTATACTGAGGCTCAGCCGGTGGCTGAGGAACTTTACGGTATTGCTGTTGCGGTTTAGCCGGGGCTTTCGGCGCCTGTCGTCTGTGTCTTGGCGGACCGCGAGATTTCCCTCTAGGAGCTGGACGCCTTTGTTCAGGTGCCTCCTGTTCCTGGTACTCCGACTGATATCGAGGTTGATGTTCATTCGACTGCTGGGCTGCCAATAGGTTTTCGTATCTGCAAACAAAAACAATGTAAATAGATTTAATTAGATGTTCTAAAAAAAATTCCGTAATCCTAAGCTACACTCTGATCGACACGTTACCTAAAAGGTTCAGGAATAAAGTTCGCGTATGGAAGCTGCTGTTGCAATTGCAATAGGTGTTTAATATGCGACGGTGCGC